GTGATGACTCTTTCACGCCGCTAATTCTGAGGTATTGACAGTTACTGTTGATTGTTGTTCCTTGGTCATTGGCTTTTGCCCAAAAAAAGGAAGAGAAAATGATTGCATGTTTCCTCCTCGCTGTTGTTGTTGCTGCCCATTTTACCGTTGCAAATTGTGTGCATAATAATAGTAGTGGTGATGATACATATATGTTGTTTTCGTGTCGTTATGCGTTGTCGCTGGCCCAAAATGGTCGGCGCTTTCGAGGTTAGTGATACCTCTCTTCTCTCGACTTTAATAACAATACACTCCGATGAAGAGCACGAGCTTAGATCGGCATCGAACTGTGTGATGGTGGTGGGGGTTTTTTGACATAGGCGTGCATGGCGTTAGAGTGGAGCGGAGCGGTTGTGATGTGGCGTTGGTGTGGTATGGTTGGTAACGTACAACTTCACATTTGTTGATAGATGTCGATCCTCATGGTTCGTGCTCATTAAGGAGTTGTTGTTGTTGTTCTGAACGATGACTGTTATCTGGTTGTTCCTTTCTCGTTGTTGAGGTTATACTCTTTATGTATTCTCTCTTGTCCACCCCTCAGCCTTGAGTTACTAGTTGCACACGTTCTGGTGTCCACCGTTGAGATGCTCGTCAACGGTATGTAATAATCACCTCTCGTGAAGCCCTTATAACCGTACAGAATTTATCATCATAACGCTGGGGAGATACTTTTCGATGTGAAGGGGATTCTCAACACGGGCTTAGATGTGAGCCCTGGAGGTATGAAAAGAAATGACAGTGATTTTTTGTCGTTAAAGTTTCGAATCGCAGCATCGACATTTTTGAAGAGAGGAAGTTGAAGGTTCGAATGTGCATTTGACGGAATTGAAGATTCTTTAACATCGATCTCGGAAGTTCAAAGTTGTCGATGCAAATATGACTTTTTATTATCAGACCGAATAACGAATTGAAACTTCGCACGGTGTAGTGATCCTAGTGGAATCATTCAGGACTACTGCGATAACGTGAGGAAACAAGCTGCCTTCTATCAATCACGACTTGTCCCATTCTCCTCCTCGACACAGACTTTGTGTCGACATTGTCCCCTTTTGTGGAGGAGACATACATCCAATTCACAATATAAAATTCTCAGAGATTTTGTGTTAGTCGTCTTAGCTACGTGTGATCACTACAGTAGTAGATTCAATTAATCATATCCATCACTAATAATGGGTTCTTGTACCACATGTTCCAAGACGGTCAACTACATCTATAATTTCTTCCTCTTCGCCCTAGGTGGGACGGTTGCCGGTATTGCAATTTGGTATTTGCAATCTGACTGGCGTGACCTCATGCAAGTCTGGTGGGTATGGATTGCCATGTTCGTCGGCTTCATTATGATCATATTCGCTCTACTTGCGTGTTGTGCTACTAAGAAGCAGAATCGTTGTTTGCTGATGATTTACTGGTTGGTGACTGCTGGTCTGTTGGTCCTCTTTGTTATAGTAGCCTGCGGTGCGAGCTCCTTCTATGCTACTACTACTAATTTGAAACACTTGGGCCCCGGTCAGCTCAACTACCTCGGTGGTTCAGAGAAGCACGCCTATGATCATATCCGTGATGGTTATGGTAGCGTATTCCGTGACGACAACTGTGCAGTGTCTTGCACTCCTGGTAACGTATTCGTCACTTGCAACCAAGTTACTTGTGACCACCATGATATCGAGGACAGAATGCAGAAGTGGATAACTAGTGGAACTACTGTCAACGATGACGATTTTGTGATGCAAAGTTCGAATGCATACAATCAGTGTATGCGAGAGTCTATCAATGCTGATGGTATCAATGGTGATAGCGCGGCAGCCTCCGGTTTCTGTGCAAGTAACGTTGAGGTCATTCAAACTGTTAGTTACTATGCCCTGGGAGCGTTGATTGGTCTGTGGATAGTGGCTGTGTGTACTCTACCAGCTGTCTTGTTCACCTGTTTCCTCATCTGTGGTAAGAAGAATAAAAAGCATCCCCAAGAACCCCGTCCTGTTGAAGCGACTTCAGTCCAAGTCCCACCAAGTGGAGTGAAAGTCGTTCAAGTGTGATGATGATTATGAACGCTTCTTGTCACTTTCATGACTATTATCATGAAGCTAATGATATTTTGTATATTTCATTGTTATTAAATAGATGTATTAGCGCCGAAGTGGTACCACTCCTGAGCGAGAGTTCGCTTTATTCATCTACAGGGTTACATTCTCCAGTACTGTTTACCTTAGTTGGTAAGCAGAAATGACGACCAGGAGGAGTATTCATCATTATTGTTGTTCCTGCCCGCTCCTCCTCATCATCATCAAATACTATTATCACCAACTCTTCTTCCCCCTTCTGGTTTGGATGTATGACTCAGTTGGTCAATCGTAGACCACTCCAATAATGAGTTGGTTTATACGTCGTCTTACACTCATTAGTTCTTCAACTGACAACACCTCAGTTCTTGAGTTAAGAGGAAGTTACTAATACGTCACCTTTTGATACCGTCCCGACTTGGCGTTTTAGTCTACTCAAACCAACTGTTAGAATTGAAGTGTAGTAAGATAGTAACTCGGGATTAAGCTCGATGGAGCTATGCGTGAGTCATTGACGTCACTATGCATCATATGTAGGTTTACGCATCGGGAAAATGTTAAGTTCTTCGACAATGCTCTTTACTCCACTTTAGTTGAGTTAACATGAACCTGATGACCCCAAGTGACCCGTACCTAGTGAATGTTCTCATTGGGATGGGAACATATCCGTAGCAGCAGCTGTGAGCCCATCAGAGGGATGGTGTTGGGAGTGGAGGAGGAAGAGGAGGACGGGCCAGAATCGATAGACACTATCCTTAATCTCGACTCTCCAGCAAGGAAGATATGTTGCTGTTGGTGGTGATTCGGACGTCACGGAAAATGTCGCCACCGGGAATCGAACCTGAGTCCTCGACTGGAAGTGTGCTCGAAAAAATCGATTATTCTGGCGTGCGCTAATGATACAAAGATCGCGATCGCAGCCCTTGATCGCTCTTAGTTGGGGGTTTGGTTGCATAAGGCCTGGTGGGACCTTTGAAGCCCTCGAGAGGTCTATAGTAACTCGGTATTGTTAGAGTAGGACAGATAGTAGACCTTGGTGGGCCCGTGAAGAGTGAACGATGCATTTGGGGTTAGTCGGGAGTATCTTGCGCTGCTCTTTTAGTTCGACGGTTATTTCCATTAATTGGCTGCTGCTCTATTATAACATCCAATTATTGGATTATATAACAACTTGAAAGAAGCTTAAAATGAGTAAGTGTCGTTGTCGATCATTCCTACTAATTTCTCAATCACCTCAGCTACCAGTGCTAACCCAGGCAACCCTACTACCACCACTCCACCAGTCACTGCTTCCACTGGTCCTCCTACCCAAGCCACGGTGGACACTACCTCTGGTGACCCTGCTCCGACGGTTGGTGGGGTTCCTACTCAGCAGTTCGCTTCCCTATATGCTGGCGACCTCGCTCCTGATGTGAATGAGGCCGTTCTATATGAGGTCTTCAACGGAGTAGGTCGTTTGTATGCACAGCTTCTCATACCGTAAATCCGCCATTTCTTCAGATTGGTCCTGTTGCCTCGATTCGCGTGTGTCGCGACTCGGTGACTCGTAAATCCCTCGGTTACGCCTACATTAACTTCCATAACGTTGCTGATGCTGAACGTGCTCTGGACACGCTCAATTACTCGCCTATCAACGGAAGGCCGTGCCGTCTTATGTGGAGCCACAGGGACCCCGCCTTACGTCGCAGTGGTGCTGGTAACGTTTATGTTAAGAATCTCGATAGGAACATTGACAACAAGGCTCTGTAGGGATTGGCTCACCACCGCCTCCACCATGTTGTATTAATAATAATCACTTTCAGTTACGACACTTTCTCCCTCTTCGGCAACATACTCTCATGCAAGGTTGCTTTGACTCCCGATGGGAAGTCTAGAGGCTTTGGGTTTGTCCATTTTGAATCGGATGAGTCAGCTGAGGCTGCTATCGCTAAGTTGAATGGTATGCAAATTGGGGAGAAGACGGTATACGTGGCTCAATTCAAGAAGACTGCTGACAGGTAAGGGCATATCAGGATTTGATGTGATTAATTGAGTGAACGTTTTATAGGAGTGATGGAAGTCCGAAAAACTTCACGAACGTTTATATCAAGCACATCCCGCCTTCCTGGACCGAGGAGAAGATCAGAGAGGAGTTTGGTGCCTTTGGAGAGATCACTAGCTTTGCTATGCAGACGGTAAAGTGGCGAAGGTGTGGTATGAGTTGGTGATGGCTCATCATCGCAGGATCCCAAGGGTAGACGATTCGCCTTTGTGAATTTTGCTGAGTTCGAGCAGGCCAGGGCGGCAGTCGAGGATATGGATGGTGAAGATGTTAGGAA